ATCCCATGACCCCCTCTTTGGGTTTGATTAATTTGCTAGAGCAGCTTACAGAACTCAGGGAAACTTGTTTGCCAGTTTATTACAAAGGATATTGTAAAGGATATTATTGCTATGTGTTCAGCTATCTGGAAGCTTTCCAAGCCCTGGCCTTTTGAGCCTTTTTTTAGACTTCATTGGATAGACATGATTGACACATGGGCAACTGTTGGAAATGTGATTGAACAAAAAGTGTATGAGCTAATACTCATAGACCAAATGGGGAAACCCAACAAGGCCTGTCTGTTCAGGTTCTTGGCTGTTCTGTACACTATTTCTTTCTCAACCATATGGGAGAAATGGATATCTTATGACCTATAATAAGACAAGGTGGGTCAGATAATTTCTTTATAGCCAGCTCCCAGATGGAAAGGCAGGGAAAGATTCCTGCTTTGGGGAGAAGGAGCAGTTGTAAGGAGGGCATGAGAGGGTCAGTGATAGAGATTTTTTTCTGAGGCCTAAAGGGCCCAGTGTTATAAGGGCTGTGGGAGTGTTGAGCCAGTAGCTGTGAATGAAAACACACACACACACACACACACACACACACACACACACACACACACACACACACCATAATATCACACCTGCATAATGTCAAGATTCTTCAAGATAAGGCTTCAATGAAAGAGAGTCTAGAGAATTAAATTTACTTTCCAGCAGAAAGACATCATAGTTTTCTTTTCTTGATCTTTTCAGTGAGACTAAAAGTTTGTGACCATTATCCTTCATGAGGATATGGGATTGTGATTCAGGAAACTGCAGGCAGAGAAAACTATTTAGTCAAATGATGTTGACAGTATTACAGAGCACCTAACAGAAACAAAAGTGAATACCTTCAGAGGGGTGCTCCCTTAGGGTATGCCAAAATTAAGTGCTTTCATATTCCAAGATTACAAAAATAAGAAGAAAATTAGCAGTCATGAATAAGAGTGAGCAGGAAAAACAGCCACATTAGATCTCTGAATGTCAGATACTGAATTACAAGATAAGACTATAGAATATATATGCATTAAATGTTTAAAGTGTTAAAAAGAGGAATTTAAAAACATGAACAAGGAGCAAAATACTGTCAAGAATTACCAGGTATATTTGAAAAAGAATCTAATGGAACTTCTATCAGTTGAAAATGTAATAATTGAAGTGGCAAACCATTGAATGGGGTAAGTTGAACTCAGCTGAACAGAGAATTAATGAACTTGAAGATAAAGATCTGAAAAGAACCCGGATATGGGAACATAGAGGAGATATTTACAGGGAGAAGAAATAAATATGTCTAATGCTTATGAAATTAGAGTTTCTCAAAAGGAAAATGAAGGGGCTGACAGTCATTAGCCAAAGAAAGAATAGGAATGTCCCAAAATTAAAAAATGTGAATCATTAGATTGAAGAAACAGGATGAATTCAGAGGAAGAAAAATAACTGGATAACACTGAAAACTAAGAGAACTGAAAATTAAAAGTAGCCAGAAGCAGATTACCTAGAAAGCTAAAGAAATTATTCACATTGTTTTAGTAACATTGAATGATAAAGGTCTTAGAACTAGGTCTTTAAATACCAAGAGAAAACAAATGTCATCCTATAGATAGTAATCAGCAAAATCATTCAAAAACAAGGATTTTGAAATAGACTTTCAGACAAACGTCAGATTGGTAAATAAAAGTCTTATTGCATTATTGGTGAACATGTAGAGCAAAGAGAAGTCTTAGACAACTGGCAGAATGTAAACAACTACTTTCCAGAGTAATTTGACAAGGTGTAATAAGATTCAGTATGTGTTTATCCAGTGGCCCAGGAATTCTACCTGTGTATGTTTGTTTGTGTGTATGTTGATCTGTTGTTTGTTGATGTGTGTGTGTGTGTGTGTGTGTGTGTGTGTGTCTAAGCATTGTTTATTGATCTGTTTTGGCCATGATGTAACTGAAATAAAATTTCAGAAAACAAAATTTACCCTTCCTCCATGCAGTGTACTTGAATATATCTTCTGTGTCTCGTCACTTTGTTCACCTTCCTTTTTCTCTTCAATCTCCCACCATTCTCCTCTTTTATTTATTTATTTTTAAGCTGTTTGTGATTCTGGCCCACTAGTGTGATTTTATTGATGGGTTATGAACTGCCAGTTTGAAAAACACTATTTTAAAGAAACTCACATATAAGTGCAAGGAAAATAAGGATAAGGATATTGATAGCAATATTGCTTGTAAGACTGAAAAATTGGAAACCCTCTTCAGCCCTGATAAACGGAAAATGGATAAACTGTTGTACTCATGTAAGGGCCTTAAAGTGGAATCATAATAAATTAATAAATTACAGAGTCCTTCTTCAGTGATTTATACTTACAAGTATAATGTTGAGTATAGAAAGCAAGTTGCTTAAAAATGCAAGGCAGGACAACCTCTTTGAGTCCCTTCCCACTGTGGGAACTTTTCTGTCCTCTCAATAAATCCTGCTTTCTTAAAAAAAAAAAAAGAAAAAGCAATACTGTATATCGTTTTATGGGTGTTCACATATATAAAAACATATACAGAGATTCATGGAAACGATAAACACCAAACTTAGATTATTTCTGGCAGGGAAGAAATATATAAATTATGTTATATAAATAATGTTTTTTTCCCCCTTAAGGAGAGTGGTGGATATACATGGGGGGGGCAAAAAAACCCTGGAATTTATGTATAAAAAGTGTGTATTTATTCTTGCATGTTTAAACTTCACTTTCAAAGTGTTCTCTGTTTGATGCAGTACAGCTATCAAGATGCTTTTTCCACTGCTCAGACCAGTTTTTGAACTTATCAGTTTTGTACCTTTTAGTGCTTTTGCCATTTTTTGTTTCACGTCTCCCACATTGGCAAAATGCTTCCCTTTGAGACCTTTTTCATCTGGGGAAACAAAAAAAGTTACAACAGGTTGAGATCAGGTGAATACGAGGGTGGGGTGGGGGTCATGCTGTTTTTGGTCAAAAGCTACTGAACACTCAGCGTGGTGTGGCCAGGTGCACTCATAAATCACCAATCATGAAATGGGCAAGTGCATTAAAAGGATCTCCAAAAAAATTCACTAAAGCCAAATGCAGCCTCTTACAACAGTGCTAGCTGGTATGTTGATGTGTATGGGTTCCTAGAACACTTGCCTTGTTCCTAAAAACACGGTTGTTCCTAGAACACTTATAGGTGGAAGCCTGTCCTGCAAAGGACCCACCCTCCAAAAAATAATTTTGTGGGTTTTTTTTGGGTCCCCCTCGTAGGTGTTTATTAAGTCATATCTTCTTTGTATGTCTAAAATATTTGACAATAAACTTGTGTGAAATGGTGTTGGTAGTGAAATTGAGGTATCTCTCAGTAGATATCTCAAAAAAGATAAAGAGTTGAATGCTATGAGAGAAAAGTTTGAGACCTATAGAATAGATCCACATTAGTATGTATGAAATAGGAACTCCAGAAATAAAAAAATACAGTGCATATGGCAGAAGCAGTAAATAATAAAGTAGTGGGATAAAATTTTCTTGAGCTGATGAAAGCCTAAAGTAAGATGTACTGATATCAAATTTCTGATAAAATCCAATATTTATAAAACTTCTGAATTTCAAGGATCAAAAGAAAATCAAGTTTCCTGATAGAGAAAATAAGCCTAATCTAAAAAAGAACCAGATTGGCAGCAATGGGAAACTGGTGGTGGTGGTGGTTGGAGGGGGTGGGATTGACAGTTGAGGGAAACCGCTAAGGAAGGGAGGTGCATACCTCATCAACAGGGGTACCTGCATGGTCAATGTTTGTATACCTAACCCTGAATTGCACCCCACATCTTTATAATAAAAATTTTAAAAAGCAAAAAAAGGAAGGATGGAAAGTTGAATTAATGACTTAGAAGTAAAGTTGAGGAAATATCCTAGAACCTAAAAATAAAAAAATGGAAATAGAAAATATGAGCAATTATTAAGCAACATGGGTACATAGAACCAAGTATTTCAGTCTTCAGAGGAGATTGGATGGGGGGGGCGGAGAAAATAAGTAATAGAGCACATTATCCGGGTGCCATGGAGTAGTAGATGAATATTTAAAAAGATGAGTGAGACTGAAATACATGTGAAAAGATGGTCAAGATATATTAAGGGAAGAAGGAAGTTGTGAGAACAGTATGTATTATATGATATTTGTGGTTAAAAATCATATGCTTGTTCAAATGTGCACAAGAAAGATTGAAAGGACATGAAATATTAATAATGGTAAACTTTGAAAAAATTATGGAAAAATGAGAGAGGAATTCTTATTCTTTTTTAGTACATAATGTTGTTTTGTAAGGAACATATTTTTATTTAAAAAATAAAGAACTAAAGGTTATGTTGGCGAGAAAGGGAGGAAGGCAACATGAGAGTAGCAATATTTACCTAAACCACTTTAACTTACACATTATTTCAAGCCTATAGTTTTCTTTATAATGGGTACTTTTCTGTTACTTCTGAACAACTATCCCATTCCCCTACTATTCTTAGACTCTCACAGAAGTGTTTTTACACACTTCTTTGAACTTTCTTTCTTACTTAGAATATGGTAGTGGGGTGACTGATAATTTTCTTATTTCATATGGATTTTATGAGAGAGCTACATTTTGAGAATACATTAAAGTAAGGATATCTTTAAGTTGCAGGTATTGCTGTATTAATCGCATCAGTAGTGTCAATTCAGCATCTTTTGTGGAATTAGTCAGCATATAAGTAAATTAAAATAATGAATAATAAAGGGAAAAGCAGAATGACACATTCTAGAGGTGTACCCTGGTTGCGTTGTTTTGGATTGGGAGTGGAACTTGCTCAGTATCAAAATAGTAACATGTGAGTATAATCACAGAGGTGTGATGTGGTATTCTGGACCACTTGAAAGGCCCTATCCTTATTGTGAGGAGATGGATATGATCCTTGGTCTCAATATGCCACATCTACTATAAACTTCTGAACCTCCACCGTCATTCAGGATGCATCTCTAATGGTTGAAGAAGTGGTGGAGGATGGCATGGGAGAGAGTGCCTGAGGATCCTTGCCTGAGACAAGTTATGGAAAGAAAATTTTACAGGTATTCTTCTTACATATTTTACTTGGTTGCTGTGTTTTCAATAGAATAAAATAGTCATTTTCTGGAAGGAACGGGTGGCTGGGATTGGGTGGGAGAAAGGAGGGTTGGAGTGGAGCAGTGGTCTTGTTTTCCAAGGGTGGTAGAAGGAATTCTGAAAGAATATCAGCTCTTTCTGGTTTTTTTACGTTTTCTGTTCTTGCACAACTTTCTTCTTTATAATAAAGGAAGTTGTATCAAAGTTCTTGAGTTGCAGACTTACATGATAGTAAGATTCACTAGGAATGTTTAGGTACACAGTATGCTGACATAATAGTACTAGCTATCAATAACTCTTAGAAACCAATGAAATTGTTTAGATCTGTAAATTGTATTACATTTTAAATATTTTGAATATAAGCTTTAAAATCTTATTTGTAATTAACTTGTTGATTATCTCTTCTTTGATTATTTTAATTGGCTATTTAACTATTTGACACTTTGATTTATTTCTCAGGCTCAAAGATGTTGTTTAACACTACTATGCATTTTAATTAAATAGTTAATTAACTGGAGCTCCTTAAATCTTAAGTTCTTGATTTTTTTTAGAATTCCAGAAACTTAAGCGCAAAAGCTCTGAGAATGGCTTTCAAGACAACTCTAGTTCCATCGTGGCTTAAAAATATTGTAAAATATTTACATATTTTACATACCATTTGTCAGGGAATTTCTTAGAGGTTTTCTAGACATTCTCTTATTTAAAGTTTTAGAAATGGTATTTTCAGTTGTATTACTGATAATTGATAATTCTGTTGTCCTTTTTAAATGATAATGTAAGAAGTATGCATGAGTCTGTGGGGGAAAGATATATTTGAAAACTTAGAGCAGTTGAAACTTACATCTGTAACAACTCTGTTTAGTGGAAGTAAACAAAGTTATATCAACATAAAATAGCCAAGGTAAAGTAAGTGAAATGAAAGCATATTACTGGTAGATATTTTTTCTTTTGTTTTAAAGAAAATAAAAACTGTTATTTTTAAGAGAGAATTTTGTTATTATTTTCTCCTCTTCTTTTTTTTTTTTTCTAGCTTTGGCACTAGGAAAAGAGCCCTTTTATCCCATCTTGTCTTCCAGTCCATTTTGAATCAAGAAAGACCCATTGAAGACTCCTTTGAGAAGAGTCTGTTTTGAAGAAGGAAAAAGAAATACTGTTTGAGAGAAGGCAAACAGACAAAAAGGGTGATAGAAATGTGTATTTTTGTTGTGTATATAACACCGAGAGACCTTTCCAGAGTGAACATAGAGAACTGAGAAGGGAGTAAATTAAGGAATGACTGAATTTTGTGGGTCTTGATGGAAAAATGTTGATCATCTTCTAATGTGAAAAAAACAGTGCTTCATTCCAAGGACTTTTTGTCTCTGCTGTGTGCAGTTGTCATAAACTCTTCTCACATTCAAAACTACCCCTTTGTCCTCTGTGAATGATGGCACTCTTGCTTCTATTCCAGCAGTGCTTCCAAGGATGAATGAAAATATATAGCATTTGCCAAAACCTAAAAAGTACAGTCTGTTTATTTATCACTAGAGCTTTGTAAAGTACTTCTCTTGCATTTTAAAATTCTTTAGTGCTCAAAACCAACCATTGTGGGTTTTTGTCAATAAATATTAATTTTTCAAGATGAAGTATGATTTTTATCTATGTCGTGGTCAATTTTCTCCAGTTTGTTATCTGTAGACAGCTTGGTGGAACTGAGATTTTATTTTTTACACTTAAATAACTGTCCTGTTTTTGGTATTGTAATTACTTGATTTTCTGTTTTCCTTGAGATTTTTAAAAGGCTTCATGTTACTGTACATGTCAAAATAAAAAGTTTAAACTAGTAAATATGTTGTACAATTAAGTATATTGATTTTATATTGCTTTTTAAATTAAATGTTGAGTTTGGTCTTGGCATAAACCCTGATCCTAAATGAAAAATTAATCTTAATTTTTAGAAATTAAGAGTTTACCTGTTATATAGAAAGCAACCTATTAATTGGTTTGTGTGGATGTTTTTTAAGTTTAATTTTATATTTATTTTTTAATTTTTTTGGTATGTAATTATATTCTGTTAGATAGCTTTTTGTTGGAAGACAAAAGAGGACTTTATGATTTTGAACCTGTGATTGTTTCAGTTTTCCAGGCCAGTAATATGAATTCAGAAACTTGTTTCTCATTCATCAGTCTTCCTTTATTTTAAGGACTTTTAGTACAGGTTGTGATTTGTTTTGAATTAACATCTCTGTAGTCAAAATTGTGGTTTCAGTCTTTCTCCAAAGAAGATTTATTAATTCAATTCCCTCATATACATTGGGTTCTCTTTTGAGTGCTCTCTTATTAATGCATGACAGAGTAAATTTGAGTGTGTGTGTGTGTGTGTATATAAGGATGTGACCTTATTTCAGTTTGGCATAGTTGACTCATGCAAGCATTTATCACTGCATTGCTTGTAATAGTAAAAAGTTAGGGATAACTTTAGTTTATATCAAGAGGGAGAATGGTTGCAATGAAACATTATGGAGCTCTTAAAAATGGGTTCTCTTTTTTTTGATGTTAAGGATGTCTGTGATATTTTAATAAGTGAGGAAAGAGAGTTATAATTCATAAAGTATCCCATTAAAAAGCCTTGTATTTCTATAAAACATGTTATATGTATTTGAACCTAAAGAAAGGTATAATTATATTATATATGGGATGGGGGATAAAGGAGGAAGACGGATGCATTTAAAAAAATATATTTTTGCCAGGCTCCGTGGCTCAGCCTGTAATCCTGTGCCTTTGGGAGGCTGAGGTGAGTGGATTGCCTGAGCCTGCGGGTTCAAGACCCGCCTGGGCAGCGAGACCTCATCTCTACAATAAATCAAAAAATCAGCCAGGCGTGGTAGCGCACGCCTGTAATTCCGGCTACTTGGAAGGCTGAGGCGGAAGGATCGCCGGAGCCCAGCAGTTCGAGGCTGCAGTGGCCAGGAGCAGCCACTGCACTCCAGTCTGGGTGACAGAGTGAGACTCCAACTCAAAATAAATAAATAAATAAATAGAATAAAAAATAAATAAATATATATTTGAATTAATGTATTGGTTTCAGTGAAAGTATTTTTATGATTTTAGAAGAAAAGTTTAAGATTATGGATAAATACTTAAATATTTTTATTGTATTGTTAGATTTTATAGAATAAGTACAGAAAAAACAATACTACTGACATACATAACTTGCTATTACTGAAAAATAAATTAAGGATCACCAGCCTTGATTGTGGTTCATGGGAGCACCAAGATAGAAGTCAGCTTTACCTGTAGGTGATGATAGTCAGAATTAGTATGAACACTTGAAATGTCATAAAAATTCTTATAGGAAGTAGATTTAATTTAACCTGCTTTTTCTCCTTAGCCTTAATACTTCCATGTTTGAGACATTAAATTGCCCAACAAAATTTGAATTTATTTGTATCCCTTCTCTCCACTCTTTCTCTCCATGTACTTCTTAGAAAGGAGCAGGTAAAAAAGGAGCATCCAACAGTAGAAAGGAAAAAGATGAATGTTATTTGAATACTGTACTGGAGATTACACTGACTAGATCCAAGTGCTAACTCTACCTGTGGCATTAAGTACTGTGTGAACTTTGCTCTGATAAAAAATTTGTTGGATCTGTGTTTGCTCAGTTGCAAGATAAGGAGTTTGGACTTAAAAATACTAAGGGTCCTCCTGAAAATATAATTACCTAGTAAAGAACCCCTGAATAATAGATGATTGATTTTAAAATGTAATATTTCATCAACCAACAAAACTGAATAGCTTTACCTTTTTTGGGGGGAGATGGGGTTAATGTAGTGATGCATGTAGTTGTGAAGTTGGGCGTTACTTTGGTCTACTAGAATATTAGAATATTTTTCCTGAAGGCCTGATTATTGCTATATAAGAAAAATTATTATCATAGCAAATACCTATTACTGTTTTGGGCTTGCACAGTTTTAACATCATGACTTCATAGTTATAAAATATAACAATTTAAAATACAGCAAAGTGACAGTTGATAGATGTAGAAATCTCAGGAAGTAACCATTTTAATATTGTAGACAGTAGCCCTAAATTTATTTTGTATTGTGCCCTTGGGATTGTGTGTGTAACTTTAAAAAAAATTAGCCACATTTTACTTGGGGAAAAAACATTGTCTTTGGGATCATATTATATAATGCAATGTGGAAATGTATGAAGTAACAAAAATACAGCAAAAAAATTTTCAAATTTCAGATTTAATAAGATGACTTTCACAACTCTTAATTTTTTTATAAGTGGTTCTAAAAATACCCCAAATTATTCCATAGGTGAGGTCACAGTGTATGAGTATAAGGTACAGATTGACTATCCCAAATCCCAAATCCAAAATATTTCAAAATTTGAAAGTTTTCAGTGCTGACATTATGTTTCAGATTAGTGCTGACATGATATTTCAGATTTTTGGACCTGGCTTGCTAAGTATGATGCAAATATTCCAAAATTCAAAGACATTTGAAATCTGAAACACTCCTGGTCCCACACATTTGTGATAAGGGATACTCAACATGTTTCTTAGTTTTTTGTTTCTAACTCAGCTTTGTCAAAACTGAATTTATTATCTGATTTCCAAGCCTTTCTGCCCTTTATCCTTATTTTGGGAAATTACCTCTTCATCTATCCAGTTGTTTCAGGTTATCATTTACTACTTGCCAGTAACAGCTATAGCCAGTAGGCTCTAAATTATTGAGTTTCTTCTTTATAATGACTTGATTTTTGTGCCTCTGTCTGTATCATTTCTGCCTTAAACTTTTATCTGGATTATAATCACAGCCTTATCTAAAGTTTTGCTTTATCCAGTTCATACCATTGTCAAAGGGATTATTCTAAGGGCAAATCTGACAAAATCACTCTTTCTTTCCCCCCTCCTTTAAAATCAGTCTTTGATAAAGGACCAAACTTACACAGAGGCCTTTTATGACCCTGCAAGATCTGTGGAAGTACCGACCCTTGGTTCAAACCCTGCTCTACCCTTACTGTTCCACAGCTTGCAGAAGGAGGATGGGCTTAATCACCTACCTTATGGGATCATTTTGAGGATTTTTCATATGAGAAGTGCTTAGTACTTTGCCTGACATGTAGTGTTAGCTGTTATAATTACTTCTCCAGCCTCACCTCTCTCCACTGTCCTTTCTTTGTATAAAGAATTATCCAAAACACTGGTAATTGACTGTTTATTTTTCATTGTATCCCCTGTGCTTAGTGTTACACCTAGTAATTTATTAGTCTTCAATAAATATCTTTGGGAAGAGTTAATTCTGGTAGAGTTAAATGTGACAGATTGGAAAGACGTAAGATATATATTAAAAAATTATCCTATATCTTGTACTTCTGAAGAACTTTTTTTTTGAAGGGGGTAGTCAAAGTCACTCTGTCACCCAAGCTGGAGTGCAGTGCCACAGTTATGGCTCACTACAGCCTTGAACTCCTGGGCTCAGGTGATCCTTCTGCCTCAACCTCCTGACTAGCTGGGACTACAGATGCATGCTACCACGCACTGCTAATTTTTTTATTTTGTAGAGACAGAGGCTCACTATTTTGCCTAGGCTGGTCTCAAACTCCTGGGCTCAATCAATCCTCCCACCTCAGCCTTTACAAGTACTGGAATTTCAGGTGTGAGCCACCATGCCTGGACCTGAAGAACTTTTTAAAGCGTTTATTTTATTGGCCTTTGTGAGCACAGTGCTTGGCAATTAGTAAGTGCTAATAAATGATGAATTAATTGATCAATTTGAAATCAGAATTGGAATGTAAATATGGATGACAGCAGTAGGTATGGGACATAGTTGTTTTGGTGGAAATGTTATTAAGCATTCATAGTCTATTTCCATTACATGAGAAGAAGGAAATTCTACACTGTGTATTTTCTGAGACTGGTATTTTAACCATTTATGTGAGTGTTTTCTTTTTGTGTGTGTGTGTGGAGGGGGAGTGTCTTTTTTTGTTGTTTCTTTCCTCAGTAAATTTTTGGTTTTGGTTCTCTTCCCTTAGCCAGTACAAAGGTGGTTATGGGTACTTCCTACCTGTGAAATGACTTGATGTTATGAGCTATTGACTTGCTGAAGAGATTCTGAAAAAGAAAGGTGAAACACTTCTCTTCCTGTGTGTAGAAGACATACATTTTTCTTTAACAGTCAGTAAAATTGGTATTAGTTGGCTTTATCAAATTGCCAATTAAATATCACATTTTATTGTTGGTTCTTTGTCTAGGTTGAGTAATAGATACTAATTAGATTGAATTAGTCTTTGGGATTTGGTCATTGAAATACTTGAAAGTCATTTATTAACCACTGGTTTTAAATATTTTCTTATTATAAGTGGTACTAATTTTTAGCATCATCATTTATTGATGAATCTCTTTGTTTTTCATTTAATAAATAAGTGGAGTGCTATGAAATTATATCTCAACAAATCTATTAAAAAATAAGCAAGAAAAAATAATTTCATAAACCTTAAGGTAAATTATTTCACTCTTCCACTCAGTCACATCTTACCCTGAAATCAGGATAAGGGATCTAGTGAAATTGCATTATCTACAAATTAGTTTTTAACAACAGCCAATTAAACACCTAGATCTGCTTTCTCCTTTTCA